CCAAACAGCCAGAAGCCAGTCACTAGAGCTTGTGGGGTCATCTCCCCTCCTCAAGAGGTGGCTATTCGCCCGGAATGGGGACCAAGCAATGAGCTGGAATACTAAGGGGTCCATGGCATATGTAAGAGGTCCCTGGAGCTTCAGGACAGGGAGGGGCTGGAGGGGCTGGAGGGGCTGGAGGGGCTGGAGGCTCAGCTGCCTTCTTTGGAACGCCTTAAACACTTGGGGTGGTTTTGACAAGCTATTTGACCTTGGCCAAGTTACTTAACCTCCATGTGACCACAAATGGGGTTAATAATAGTAGCTGCCTCTGCGGGTTGTTGTGGGATGTACTGAGCTAATTCATGTAAAGCACTTAGAACTGGGCCTGGCATGGCATACTAGGCCTATCACCCATCAATCACCTGGAAGTTGGTGCCTTTTCCCTCCAGCTGAGGAAGCAGCGTCTCCTCTTTCATTTCAAGAAACTGAGGAAGTCACAGGGTCTGGGATACCCCTGCACTCCAGACTGCCTCTGCTCCTCACCCACTCTGTATTCCCAGCATCCAGAAAAGCAGAGGCACTAAATGTCATGGTCTCTTTATTGTCTTTATTGGCTGAATAAATGAGAAGTCAAAAAAATGAAACCTGAGACTAAGTTGAGTCAAAGAAAGCATGCTGGACTGGGAGGGCGAACCCGACAGGCAGAGGTTTGGAGGTAGATGTGTGGGGCCCCAGATCCATTTCTCTCAACTATCACTTTCTGTTGGCTTCCATTAGATGGTGGTCAGCAGGGGAGCAGCAGGCTACTGTGGTCTCTGCAAGCCAGTCCTGGCTTTGGGAGGTGGCTCTCCCCTATGGGAGTTAGTGTTCACCTATGCTCTGGTCCTTTTGTGTAGGGGGTGGCTCTGAGCCAACTTGTCCATCTTGGTGTGTGGCAGCGAGACTGGAGGAGATGCTCGTGGGCCTTGTTACCTCCTTATTTGCACTGCACCCCCTCGGCACAGCCAGGCCTCGGTGCACCTGCCTGTCAGCAGGCAGGCTGGCAGTGATGGACAACCCTCTTGGGATTCATCAGCTTCCACCATCTGGCCAGTCTGAGGTTGATGAAGGTGGGGGAACCTGTCAAATGACACCCTCTGCTCTCCTAGCCCTAGGCTCACTTCAGATGGTGTGTGGGCCTATGGGAGTGATATTGTGTGTGCCCAGGCATGGTGGTAAGGCCCTGGTGCACCTGTGAGGACATTCCATATGTCTATACATGACTTTCTATGTTTACATGTTGATCTGTGTCCTTTTACAGTAGGGTTTTGGGGTATGATGGCAAGTTTCCCAGACTGGAGACTTAGTATAGAGATTTTCTTTGGGGGGAGGTATTAGTTTGTGCGTGTGTGCGGGTGTGTGTGTGTGTGTGTGTGTGTGTGTGTGTGTGTGTGTGTGTGCTGGGTATGTGTATGCATATAAAGGTCAGAGGGCAAGATTGGATATTGTTTGTCAGAAACTGTCCACTTTGTTTTAGTATTTTGTTTGTTTTGAAACAAGGCAGGGTCTCTCATTGGAATATGGAACTTGCAGATTATTGGAGGCTAGCTGGCCAGTGAGGCCAGGGATCTTCCTGTCCCTGCCTCTCCCACAGTGGGATTACAAGCTTGTGCCATGTGGCTCCTGAAGGTTGAACTCAGGTCCTCATTGAGGGCACAGCAAGTATTTGACTAATTTAACTACCTTCCCAGCCTTGGATATTAGTTTTGTTTGCATAATTTTGGCCTAGAATTTATTCTGTAACCTAGGTGGCCTCAAACTTGCCATCTGCAATGGCTAGTTTTATGTCAGCTTGACACAAGTTAGAGTTATCTGGAAGGAGGGAACCTCAATTGAGAAAATTTCTCTATAAGATCCAACTGTAGTTCTTTTTTTTTTTAATTGGTGATTTAGGAGGGGAGGGCCCAGACCATTGTGGGCTGATGTTCCTTAGTTCTATAACAAATCAGGCTGACCAAGCCAGTAAGCAGTACCCCTCCATGGCCTCTTCATCAGGTCCTGACTCCAGGTTCCTGCCTGGTTTAAGTTCCTTTCCTGACTTCCTTCAGTGATGGACTATGATGTGGAAGTGTAAGCCTTTAAGCCCTTTCCTCTCCAACTTGGTTTTGGTCATGAGATTTCATCACAGCAATGGACACCCTAACTAAGATACCATCCTTCTGTCCCAGATTCCCAGTCAGGGGGTTTCCATGGGGACCTCTCTCAGATCAGGAGAAACTTAAAACTTCTGGTCCATTTCTTTCTCTTTTTTTCCCCTCTGTGTAGCTTTTGGAGCCTGTCCTGGAACTAGCTCCACCAGGCTGGTCTTGAACTCACAGAGATCCTCCTGCCTCTTCCTCCCAAGTTCTGGGATTAAAGCTGTGTGCCACCACTACCCAGCTTCAAGTCCATTTATTTAGAGTGACTGAAAGATGCTACAAGGAAATCCAAGTCAGCTGAGGAGCCCTAAGGCACCCTAACTCTCATGAGCCCCACTCCCTGGAGGTGAGCTCTAGCTTCATGGATCCACAGATCACCAGAGTTCCTGGGTTCCTTAAGGCATCATCCCCTCACCCCCCCCCCCCCCCCCCCCCCACACACACACACAGAGGTCACATGTAAATGTACAGTGGTATAATGTGTAGAACTAAGTATGAGTCAAACACACACACACAAGAGTCCCAGACCCATCAGACCCAGATATGATGAGTACACAATGGTGTTTATATCATGACACACCAATATAGCTTAATATAAATGTAAACTTAGAGGTGCAGGCATGTTTACATGTTGGAACATATCTACAAACTAGTAATACACATGCATGCACACACAGATGTGAGTGCTTAGAACCCTAAGTGTGCATCACTGTTACATATGTGTTCATGTACACTCTGCCCCTTCATGTCCCTCCCTACCCTCACTCCACTTTCCATATGCTTTAGCTCTCACCAAGATAACCCCCACACAGGGTGGACATCAGAAGATGGCAAACATGGTACCCAAATATGACCCCGTGTGTATGAAGCTGTGTTTATATGTCTATGTTTAGATCATCATATGTCTCATCATCTGTGTAATTCTAGCTCTGTATGACATGTGAGCGCCTCTTTGTGACACTGGGTATTTTTCTGCATGTCTGTGCTTATTTCTGGAAGGACTTACGTGTGTCTGTATCTATCCATCTGTGTGAACGTGAGTTTTATGGTTGGGGTTTGTCTGTGTAACTATGTCCTATTGGTCATCTCCCTGTGTGCCTGGATGTATATGCCTATGTGTACATATCTGGGCGTACCCCATGTGTCCAAGCTCTACAGGCTAGCTCAAGTGTCTCCACTGCCAGCAGAGGCTATGGCCAGGGTGGGGCCAGGTGAGACTGGACTGAATTCCCCAGCGGTTGACAGTCGTATTTACAGAGCTCCAAGTAGGACATAATTGCTTCTATTAATCTTTCTCCGGTTGTTAATTGCTCACTTATCGGGTTGTGTATTATGCCGACTGTTGCTCTTAATTCGCCTCCATAGCTGCAGGTGTTTGCTGCCTTATTAACTGTTAATCGGCGCGGCTAGGGATAGAGGCTTAATTGGCCCCTAGAGTGGGACACAGGCGGGCCAGCCGGGCACTGCCAGGCTCTCAGCCTGTCCCTGGAACTCTCACCTGTGGAGCACAGGTGGCTACAGGGAAAGGGCTGGCCTATTGCCAGCAGAGAGTTGTCCTGTATACAGCAGTCAGAATGACAACCACCAAGTGTCCTCCTCATATAGTCCTTCCTCCTCCCAGAAGCCAACTGACCAATCAAAGCCAAGCTCCCTATGCCTTTCTTCATCACCAACAACCATATCCTATCCCAAACAAGAGGCAATCCCATTTATTTTAATCAAGCCTAATGAGAGTTCTCCCCAGCACAGAATGGAATTGGGTTTTGCTCTTTAATGCCTCTTTTGCCTCCTTGTGGCTCTAGCAATTGAGGCTGTTAAAGTTAGAAGGATACTGGGAGAAAGAAAGGCAAGAAAAAGAGCCTTCACCAGAACATGAAGGGCAGAAATCAGACCCAGGAATGACTCCCCACCTTTCAAGGAGGCAGCTTCCAGAAAGTTCTGTTTCATTCCAGCCACACTTCTGCTTGCATAGTTCCAAGAATGGGGAACTCACTCCCTGCACTGCTGCTGCAGACACACACACACACACACACACACACACACACACACACACACGTTCCTCCTGTGTTGCAGCAGAGACTTCCAAGTGTCCTCAGTAGGGAAACTGAGGTCCGAGAAGGGCAAGGGAGTTGCCCCAGAGCTCCTCAATCCTCTCTGGTGAAAGCTCAGACATGCAACTCTCTGAGCAAAGTTCCTGCTCTCTTTTCCCTACCACATCACAAGCATCTTAGTGTGGCCGCCCAGTCAGCTGCTGCTGCTGCTGCTGCTGCTGCCCCCTTAGGCTCCAGTGTCTGGATAGGAATTCATGGCTTCCTGACACAGTGAACTCCTGAGAGCACCAGTGGAGTGGCAGGACAGGGTCCATGGTACACTAACCTGGCTTGGCCAATAATTCTCATCCCATGCCTGGAATTTAATCTACCCTGACATATGGAAGTTCTTCCTGTCATGTCTGGAGCTGCAAAGGAAGTTCATTTGCATTAGCTGGGTTCTGAGTGGATGAAACCGGGTTCTAAGGAAGGAGGCAGGGAACAACCATATACTGCCTGCTGCCCACCAGAGCATCAACGCGTATCTGCCCAAGTGGTATCCCGTGAACCCTCGCATGACCTAGTCAGTTAGAGATTAGTACCCCTATGAACAGAGAAGGCAACTGAGTCACAGAGAAGGGCACCAACCAGGAAAGGCAGAACTGGGGTCCAACAAGTCTCTGTTGCTTAGAGAACTGAGTCTTCGGTTAGGATGTTTCTGTAAGGGCGTGAGTGGACCAGAGCTGATGGTCACTGTCAGAGGTCTCCCACCCACCTCAAATCCGAGAACACGGAGACGCAAAACACTCACGCATGCGCAGTCCAGGTGGCCATCGGACGGGATGAAAGCAAAGCGAGGGGAACTGTCCAGGGATAGTTGCCCAAACAAGTTCCGGCTCCGCCTCTATGTTAATGACATGCAGATATATGTAAATTTGCACACGTAACTGCTTAAACCTTTGGGAGCAATAGGGTGACACGGGAGCAGTTGCTATGGAAATTCAAAAGAGACATTCTCCCCCCCACCCCCCGCACCAGCAGGCGCACAGACACGTGTATAAAGACCCAGGGTTCCTCGCTCTGGAGCCCAGAGGATCACGGAGTAACAGAGGGTGTGAACCGGAAGGAGCCCGGAGACTGCATCCAGCCTGGGGGTGCCGGCGCGGGTCCCGGTTGGGGGCGGGTGGCGCCCGCTAAAACCCTTTGGGCAGCGGGCGACTCCTCGGCCTAGCAACCAGGGCCCCGCCCGGCGTTGCATAGCAACATTCCTAGAACCTAGCAACCGCCGATCACACCCCCTAGCAACGTCATGCCAAGCTGCGTTCCTGGTCCCTATCAAGAGATAAGCAAAGGGCTTGTGAACTTGGAGCAGAAGGTGGATGGGGGTCATATGCCCAGCCCCCACCCCCGAGGCAGGATACAGGGTTTTGAGGGCGAGTTGTCAGAAGGCGGCGTTTGCACCCCCACCTAGGGAAGGGTGTGCTGAAGCTCTAATGGCAGGCCCCGGAGGAGGGCAGAGGCTAGCTCTTCCCCAATGCCTCTCCTGTCTCCCCAGGAGAAAGCTGCAGTCACGGAGGTGTGCGCCGCGGTGTCCGCAGCCCCGCTGCGTTAGGAAAGCCACCCAAGTTGCAGGCTCCAAGAGGAGCTGCAGGTTTGCATAGTAATTTACAAAATTTGCATTCAGCGCTGAGGCTGCGGCATTCCCGTGCCCTCTGAGCCAGAGGAGTTCCCTCAAGAGCCCCGTTCTTTCCCCTGGTTCGTCTATCCAGAACCTTCTCCATGCTCCCACTTACAACCCACCCTCGCCCACCATCCCCGCTTCCAGCCCCTCCCACTTTCTCTCACCCGCCCCCAGCTCAGCCTGGGTCCTGCCAGCCCCGACCTCCATCCCAAGGCAGAGGGCCCCCTCTGCTGTCGGCTGGGGGTAGGGCAGCCGCAGAGCTCTTGGGGCAGAAAGCGGGGCTCCTCTTATTAATCATCTCCTCTCCCTTTCCAGTCCAGCAGGCTCCAGAATGAGGCATGCTTCGGATGCTGCAGCGAAGGACGGGGGTGGGGGGAGGTGAATCAGTTTGGGGCAGCTAGCTCACAAGTCAGTCCCCAGACTCACAGCTACTATGAGAAGCTCACTCCAGCTCCAAGGCAAAGCAGCCAAATACCACCTCGCCAGGCTTGAATGTCTTCTCAGGCCTAGACCCTGGCTGTCTCTGGGAGTTGGCAGGACCTGCAAACAGCAGTCACCTTCAACAGAGACTCTCACACAGACCTTCAGTCACACGCATGTACTGAGAGGCCCTCACATATGTACCGGTCACAGACACCTAGGGAACATTGGTATTAAGTGCCATGCCCGGCTTATCCGAAAGAAAAATTATTGACTTCAGAAATTTAAAATCACTCCCGCAGAAGAGAAAGTCCAAATGGTGAAGAGCCTATTAACACCAGCATTAGAGGGACGGGGGTAGCAACTAGCTAATTTGTAAAGCTCGATGGCTAGCCAGCCAGCCTAGCCAAAATGGTGAGCTTCTGGCTCCAGGAGAGACCCTATCTCAAAGGAGTAAGGTGATAGAAGAAGACGCCAAAGCTCTGCTCTGGCCTCCCTGACTCACAGCAATGCTCGAATACCATAACTAAATGAATAAAAACAAAGCCACTCCTTTCAATTTCCTAACTCCTCTACTTTCTTGTGCCCTTTGTCTGTCTCTCTCCTCCAACCCCAGTCTGTCTTCTGTCCCACTACTGATTATTTCCCTAATTCAGTTTTTTTTTTTAGGACAGTGTTTTAGTCAGAGTTCTCTAGAGGAACAGAACTTACAGAATAAATATATATCATATGTTTATTAGGACAGCTTACAAGCTGTGGTCTGGCTAGACTAACAATGGCTCTCTACCAATGAAGAGTCCAAGAATCCAGTAGTTGCTTAGTCTACAAGGCATGATGTCTCGGCTAGTCTTCAGTATATGCCAAAATCCCTAAGAGGTAGGCTCTAGATGCCAGTGAAGGAATGGACTTACTGTAAGGACTCAGGCATTAAGCTGGCCTGCCCGTCCCCTGGCAGAATGCACTCAGGCAGTACCCTGGTCAGTCCAGGGTTCCATGACTAGTAGTCTGCACGCAAGAGCAAAGGACCTCTTTATAAGAAAGACCCCAGCTGACTTACATTCTCTTTCTTCCCACTGTTCCCCTGGGGCAGACAGGACTTTTCCTGTCTCCCTAGTCTGCCCTCTCTCTGTCTCTGTCTCTGTCTCTTTACCTCTGTTCTCTTTCCTTCCCCCTTCCCTCCCCTTTCTAATAAGACTTCTCACTTTAGCTCTGTCTGCCTGGCATGTTTGTCCCTCAGCCTCAGTCACCCTCGCCTGCCATGGAATCTGCCAAGGTTCCCCCCGGAGCTTTATCCTAACACTTACTAGCAAGAACAGGCAAAGAGCAAGCTTCCTTCTTCCATGTCCTTTCTATAGGCTGCCAGCAGAAGGTGTGGCCAGTTTAAAGGTGGCTCTGCCCCCATCAAAAGGTCAAAATTAGAAGTGAACCATCCCACTTCAAATGATTTAATTAAGGGGGAGGGAATCCTCACAAGGTGTGCCCAGCCATTCCAGATGCAGTCAAGTTGACAGGCAAGAATAGCCATCACGGGCTGAGCAATGGTGGCACATGTCTTTAATCCCAACACTCACGAGGTAGAGTCGGGCGGATCTCTGAGTTCAAGGCCAACCTGGTCTACAGAGCAAGTTCCCAGGCAGCCAGGGTTATACACAGAAACCTTGTCTCCCAAAATCAAAATAGAAAGATAAATAAATCAGTAAATTAGCTATCACAGTCAGGATTTCACTGTGTAACACTGGCTGGCCTGGAACTTGCTATGTGCAACAACCTGGACGCAAACTCAAGAGATCTACCTGCCTCTGCCTCCAGACTGCTGAGATTAAATGTGTGCATGCCCACACCCAACTCAGAATATTTTTCAAAACATAACTCCAGAAGCCACATAGCAAAACCTTTGTCCTGGGACAAATTGATGATTCATGACCCCCCCCCTCCAATCAGCAACGGGGGATGTCATGCATTTGTGGGGAAAAAATTCCAAGACACTTCAAGTCACACCTGGATGGGACTAGAGACGCTCCTACACAGCCATCAGATGCAATTCTTATTTTGCCAAGTTTTTATTGAACCAAAAACCAACATCAAACAGGTTGCAGAACGGATACAAACTGGGCAGGTGGGGAGAGCTGATTCGCCCTCCCTGTCTTTCAGCTTTGGTAAGGGGATGAACACTCCTGTTCTGGTGGGTCCAAAGGGTCAGGCCTCTCTGGCCAGGGACACTCAGAGCCACCTCCATCCATAGGGCCCAGAGAAGGCTTTGGGATTGGCCCAGGGGGACGTGGAACTGCAGATACTGGTGAGGATGGGAGGAGGGGCTCCTGTCCTGGGGGCCACAGCGAGGCCTGGAACTGGTGACTCATGGTCACTAGGACCTTGAGGTGCTGGAGGAGGCCTTGGTGGAAGCAGGAGGCCCTATGGCGGTGCTGCCCATGACCAATGCCAGGGAAAACTGGTCCACCTGAATTGGGACGTTTAGGGTAGCACCAGCTTGCTTCTGGGGACTGCTGTCCCCATCCATGCTCCTGCCTCCCCCTGCCTCTGGGGAGACTCTGCCAAGCACAAACACTTGGAGCCAGGCTGCCCTTGACCAAGCTCTGCTTTGGGGCCTCCTCATGGGAAGGTGATCCTCCCAGGGTGGCCTCTGAAGTCCTGTCTTCTGGATGGTAGCATCTCCTCTCCACTTTTTTGCTGAAGGAAACAGTCTTTGGCACCTTGTTCCACAGAGGGCTAGACAGAGCTGTGTCTGGAAGCCCATCCTTCGGGAACAAGACCGCCAGTAACAGGCTCGTATGCGTGGTTTCAAGACCTGAGGAGAGAAGAAGGAAGGGTCCCAAGACCTAGAGGAACTCAACATGGATTCCCCCAAAAGCTGCCATGGGTCTGGAAGTTTGATCATGAGAACTTCCTGGCCATGAGATTGGGGAAGAGCAAGCAGGTGAGCCTGCTTGGTCTAGGTGATCAAGTGTCATCTGGAAGAAGGCAGAGCATGAATGGCTTGACCTCAAGGCTTAATGAAAACAGTCTACACCATCCCATGGGTTGGTGTGTCATCTGTCCTTGTGCCTACCACAGAGCAAGGCAATGATTACTGTAAAATGAATGAACGAGAGGCAAAGGACTGTGGGCCAGGCAGTATCATTGAGGGAGACCTTGTGAACAAAGAAGGTGTACCTGAACTAGATGGCAGCTATGTCCCAAGACAAGGTGGGCTTTTGCCCAGAACTGCCTGATGGAGGACTTGTTACTCTGCCTCCTACTGGGAACTGCAGCTCAGAAAGGGCTTACAGCTGCTCTTGAGTTCCTAAAGTCCTCTTCCAGAGGTGCTTCCTGGGCCACGCTCAGACCGCCACAGGCCCATGCCTAGACCCTTGCCCTGAAGCCAGGCCTGACTAAAGCAGCTGCAGGGTCACACCTAGTCCTCCTGGCTACCATGACTGTTTTAGTCAGCTGTCTGCATCTGCCTCTATCCTGTTACGCTTGGGCCAAATGTGTCTGCTCTATTCCAGTATATACGTGGGTCTCACCTGGGCCCCCCAGAGGGCGCAGTCTGGCTGGCAGAGGCTGGAAGGCGGGCAGGGGCATCAGGACCGTCTTCACATGCTGCACAGTCGCCAGGCAGTGGCGCTGCTTGTTGTTGAGGTAGGAATAGAGCAGGCGGTAGTTCTGGATGTCCCGAGACCCACGGGGACACAGTCTGACCACACAGATGTCCTGGGAGGCAGAGGGATGTACAAAAGGAGCTATTCTCCTCTTGGCCTGCAGGAACACTCAGATTCAACAGACCCCTGTGAGCCCATTTCCTGTAGGACAACGGTTCTCAACCTTCCTGATGCTTCGACCCTTTAATACAGTTCCTCGTGTGGTGACCCCCCAACCATAAAATTTGTTTTTGTTGCTACTTCTTAACTGCAATTCTTGCAATCTGTTGTGACCCACAGATTGAAGACCACTGTTCTAGGAAGAAGCCAAAGAGGGGAGAACTTACCAGAGTCACTGGTGAGCCAGGGAACTAGGTGGGGAGAAAAAGAGCTGAGAAGGAGAGGCAAAAAGAGAGGGTGCCCAAAGAGCAGGCGGTTTACCTTGACTCTGGCTGGGGACATGCTATCTAGAAGATCCCAGAGGTCATTTGGAGGGAGGCAGCCTGCTGAGCGAATGACTTCCGGCAGAGCCTGGGGGCAGGTGATTGGTCAGCACCCAGCTTTCCACCCTTGTAGGGCTGTTTCATTTCCCATGACCTCAGGCCAAAGCCTGAGAAGGGCACACAAGGTATCCAGACCCTCAGGGACTCCCTGGAGAGCTCTAACTGCTCTAACTAATTGTCCTGGCCAAAGTCTCAAGGGCCCTCACTCATTCCCCACCTAACAGTTTAGCTCATCAGTTAGTTATTCAACAATTACTCCTAACCCCTCTCATGATCTGAGAGGCCCCCAGGATGCTCTCCCAGAGCCTCTCTTGCCTCATGCCTTGAGGTAGAGAAAGCTATGGCATTCAGTGTGTCTCAGAATCAGGCTAGCGTGTCATGTGCCCTCACACGTAGTTAACACAAGGCTCGCTGGTGATTTGTAGACCCTATGGATGAATTACCAACTGGGCTGAGCAGTATGGTGAGGGAGTCCCTAGAAGCAGAAGTGGAGTACCTGGACAAGCTGACAGCTGTGTCCTGAGATCAGCTGGGCCTTGGCCCGGAATTGCTTGATAGAGAACATGTCTAGTGAGCCCTCCCAGGGCGGAGGACTGGGTGGGACATTTTTGGGCCCAGCAGGCATCTGGAGCCTAGAAGGAGGGAGAGGGCAGGGCCAGGCAGAGTCATTCATTAGGATGTCCCCATCACCCCCTTCCTTTACAGAGTCAATACGGCATTCTCATTGCAGAGACCTGAGCAATGATCCAAGTATGGCCTCATGCAGGAGGTAACCAGAAAGCTGCAGGAGTTGCATTTCACAGATAGAAAAACAGGCTCTCAGACATGGGAAGGCTTAAGGCCATAAAGGAAGGAGGCTCCTGCAGCTTGTGTACATTGAGCTCCAGCTGGTGGCCTCTCCCACCCATGCTGCTGAGTTGCTTACCTCACCTGTTACTAGCATAGAGCCCTAAAGGTTCCCAGTCCCATACCTGTCCCGTGGTTCCTTGGAAGGTGTCTCCCCAGTCTTGAGCATCTCTGGAGAGGATACAGGAGCTGGACCTGGGGCTTTCTGGATGACATTTTCCTCTTTATTCACAATGGCTTCGGAGAAGGCTGGAAGTTTAGTTGAGGATTTCCAATCTGCAAAGAACAGAAGCAAGAACTCAACAACCAGGCCGGGACAGAAGCCAGCCCACAGCCTGATGGCCAAGACTTGAGCCAGCTTCATTCCAAGGTGATCTGTTGCACAGGCTCTCCCATTCTGCCTCCTTCAAAGTGAGTCACCCACCCATGCTGTGGCTGATGTCCACATGTGACTCCAGCCCCCTACTGCTGACATCCGTCCTGCCTTCCTTCCCATCCTTGCAGGTGTGGCAGTTTGAGTCCCAGAAATGGTGCTGGTGCTGCTCTGTAGTGTCCTCCAGGGGGAATGTCAGGGCCTGTGGGCTGAACTCTCGGGGCATCATGGGTTCCTGGAAAGCATGGGGGCAGAGAGGGACAGATGGCAATGTGGCCAGGTAGATCAGGAGTCCTCTAGGGGTAGAGAGCCTCAAGAATGTGGTTTATTTTTTCTAAATATGCTTTTTTTTTTAAATATTCCAAAACCTGGAAATTTGTAAAGAAGACCTGGGAAATAAAACAATTGAAAAATTATGCCAAGTGGTGCTGATGTATGCCCCCAATCCCAGCACTCGGGAGGCAGAAGCAGGTGGATCTCTGTGAGTTCAAAGCCACTGGTCTACAGAAATAATTACAGGGCAGCTAAGGCTGTTACACAGAGAAACCCTGTCTTGAACAAAAAATAAAAAAATTGTAACTGAAAAACACCCCACTCTTTGTTCAGACAACTATTGAGACTCTGGGAGCTCTTTATTGTAAGTTTTTTGTTTTGTTTTCTTTTGGGGGGGTTGTTTTTTCGGGGGGGGGGGGGTTCAAGGCAGGGTTTTTCTGTGGCTTTGGGGGATGTCCTAGAACTAGCTCTTGTAGACCAGGCTGGTCTCAAACTCACAGAGATCCGCCTGCCTCTGTCTCCTTAGTGCTGGGATTAAAGGTGTGCACCATCACCACCCAGCCTTTTCTATGCAGAAGGTCTGGGGTCCCTTCTGTATTAGCTGTGTTCAAATAGTCTTTGTACCCCCATTTTGGCCATTAATTGCAATAGAGACATTTTCCCTCTTCTCAAGACCTTGTGGGCAACCTATAGGGCAGACTGTCACCTCTGTTGCTAGACGTTTTCCGGTCACCTCCAGTTGTCACTAGCATGGAGCCCTGAAGGCATCCTCATGCACAAAATGTTTTCCTAAATTTCTGCCACCTTTCCTTAGGTCAAGTTCTCAGAAACAGATGTCGGAATCCAGAAAAACAAACCTTTTTATCACCTTCCCCCTCATAATAGAAATCCCTTTCAGTACAGACACAGACTGCCTCTGGAGGGTTTGGAGGGCTCCTCAAAACGCTACCAGGTTCACATCTCCGTTCCACTCCTGCCTACCACACTAAGCTGAGTCAACGGTTCGGGTTCCAGAAAGGCTCCGACTGTGTAGGTAATTGCCATGTTCAAATGGGGTGCTGTTTGTAAAAGGGGCATGTGGCAAGTACTCAATATGGCGTAAAGATTGCTTTTCTCTGTCACCTCCCCTTCTCTTCTGCCACCTCCTCTCTTCTCCTGACGCTTTTCTCTCTCCAGTGCTGACATTCATCCTCTTGAGGGAATGTGGCTGGAGTGGGCTGGGGAGCAGCTGTGCCCCTGAGGGCTCCTCTCTGCACAAGCACTGATTCTTCTTGGCTTGGGTGGGGGACGGTGAGGTGGGGAACCTGGAGTTTGTCTTGCCACACCCACTGCCATTTCCTCCAGGGCCTAGCACCCAAGAGGAGTACAAGTCTGTACCAAGGGAACGAACATAAGCTAAGGGATTTGCCTGCCTTCCACCCATCTCCTGATCAGAAAAACACACAACCAGGTGACAACTGACTCATGGAGACTCCAACCAAACCAGAGCAGCCTTCTGAGAGTGAAGGATGTGGGGCAAGGGGAAGGGCCTGCTGGCCACAGGACACTGAGATACCGGTTAACCAAGCAGGGACAGAAGAGCCACTATACTAATCAGGCTTTGGGCAAGATGGAGGCGCTCCGCTCCGATGCAGGGTGGTACAGGATGTGCCAGGGAATGGAGCTGACCCATCAATGACCCGCTTAGATATTGGGACTCCTCTAGATACAAGAGCAAGGTCAAGAGGTCCTCTGGCTGGACTGCCCAGGGTGTGGGGTCATTCCCTGCCTGTGACAACTCCAAGCAAATAAACTCACTAACAAAATAAGTCTCTGTCTTTCATACCTAGAAAAGCTACTGCCTGAAGCCAGAAAAGCTGGGACTGGGGTGACTGCAATGACAAGCCTTAGTGCCACTCATGTAAAAGTTCTGGAGTTAGGCTAAAAGAAGAGAGACCAGCCCCAGGCTGATTGCCACCACCCATTCTCATGCTTCACGATGAACGGCCAAGATCGTAGTCCCTGCTAAACCCTGAACATGGGGCCCATGGAGTAGGCAGTGGCCTTGCTCAGGGCCCCACAGGAGTGGGGTACCTATGCCTAAGTCAGCTTGTCCCTTACCATCAGGTCCTCTAGGGTCAGCATCTGGTCTGAGTCCCGTGGGATCTCTACCTCACCCTTGTGAGTCAGTTTGGAGGTGGGAAGTCTATACAGCTCCTTCTGTTGTTGCTCAATGATGTCCAGGCCCTGAAGAGGCAAAGCAAACTCAGCCAGGGCCTCAGGCCATCGAGCACCCCACCACTCCCTTCCCCCACCTTCAAGGTTCTTCCCTTGGTGGCTCCTCTCTTTGCGGACTTAAAAAGCCAGCCCCCTCAGCCCCACCCCGTCCAGGTTCCACTCACTGAAGCCCCACTAGGAAGAGTTTCCTGGACTTGGCCTTCACCCAAGTCAATTATGCCTCTGGCTGCCCCACCCATCTCTGCCCCAGGGAGGTTGTGATATCTGGAACAAGTGTACAGGCTGAGTCCCAGATGGGCCATTAATAAAGATTTAAGGATTAGTTTGACTTTGGGCCACTACTTAGTGGCCCTAAGCCTCAGTTTATCTATTCTCTGGGGATTAGAACACGGTATTAAACAGCACATGGAGAAGGCCTAGCCTAGTCCGAGTTTACAGTAACCCCTAGCTAGCTGTCATTCTCCTGGTTGATCAATGCCACCTAAACTGGAGGCCTGTCCCTCCTTTTCTAACCGTGCAGGAAGACAGTGGCCCTGCACCCCACACCCAGGCAGATGGGCTCCATGACGAGGACATGAACGCTGGGCCTTGTATTCAAAAAGGCCCACACTTGGCTCAAGCTCTGTGTTCATTACCTTGAAATTCTTGACATGTGGGCACACACGTTAGAGGATGTCTGGATGCATGTTCGTGTGTACAAGTGCTCATGGAAGCCAGAGATTAATGTTGAATGCCCTTCTTCAGGGGCTGCCCACTTACTTTTTTTTTTTTTTTTTTTTTTTTTTTTTTTTTTTTTGGTTTTTCGAGACAGGGTTTCTCTGTATTGCTTTGGAGGCTGTCCTGGAGCTAGCTCTGTAGACCTGACTGGCCTCGAACTCACAGAGATCAGCTTGCCTCTGCCTCCTGAGTGCTGGGATTAAAGGTGTGCACCACCAATTGCTGGCTCTACTTTACTTTTTGAGACAAGGTCTCTCGCTGGGTGAGGCTTGCCAGAAAGCCCCAGGGGTCTGCCCATCTCCACCTCCCCAGCCAGCACTGGGATTACAAAGGCATGTCATCATGCCAGACTTTTTACATGGATGCTACAGCTCAAACTCGAGGCATCATGCATGTGCAGCTAGCACTCTACTGACTGAGCTCCCTTTCCAGCTCCACCCCCCCCCCCCCCCCCCCGCCATAGGAATTCATAATGGCTTTGCACAGAGGCTGCACTAGCCTCTCAACTACGCAGCTGTTCCCACCCTATGGCACTTCTGGTGCTGGACAGAAACTTAGCTGAGAAAATGGAGTCTCTGGCTGGATTGGGGCTATTAGCTCTCTTGGAAGAGCACTTACTACCCTCTCCTCCTCAGCACTTAGCCCTGGACCAGTTCCATCTGCGTCTGACCACCAAGCATTAGGCCACCTTTCCAAAAGCCAGCTCAATGCCATGACTTCCCTGCTCCAAGGAATTCTATGCAGGGTGGGGCCATGGGCAGGGGCAGGGCACAGGAGGATTTGACTAAGGCGGGAGGGGCAGGGGGAGTAAGGACCTGTCCCCAGAGCCTGAGGTTGGGATAGGAAGAAGAGCACTGGTGACTTCCTCACAGGATCCTCCCACACAGCCCAATTCCACAGAAAAACACGCGTATGGCCTCTTTTCCTCCCTGTGTCCTGAGTGGCTCTCCCTCTGGCCTGCTTTCTGTTTTCCCCAGCTCCTTCCCTGACTGTCCATCCGATCTGCTTCCTCTGCTCCCATCTTTCATTGCGGGGTCACCCCCCTACCCATGCCCTCCCACCTCTTATGACTTGTCTACAAAGCTCACCCTTCTTTTTTTGTTTGGTTTTTCAAGACAGAGTTTCTCTGTGTAACAGTCCTGGCTATCCAGACTGGCCTCAACCTCACAGCGATCTACCTGCCTTTGCCTCCTGAGTGCTGGGATTACAGGTGCGAACCACTGCAAAGCACGGCTCACCCTTCTTTCCTCCTGGTCCCGCCAGCGGGACAGCTCCTTGGGGGCCAGCTGGATTGAGCTCATCTGTACCAGGTCCTGAGGGCTGACATCACACTGAGCCACTTTGAGAATCAGGTCCTGTGGGGGAAGAGAATGTACCATTTCACCCTGAGAGCACCCACTCCAACCTGCTGTCTTCTCCGGTGTCCCCAGGGGAGGGCTGGGCAGGCTGCACCTCCCCCAGCTCACAGAGTTTCGGGGATCTTTCAGGTTGAAGAGCAGGCTTCGGTACTTGGTCTTGTAGCGAAGGTTGGTGTCTTGGGTCAGATGGAAAAGGGCTGCTTCAATGTCCTCTGCAATGCTGGCTACTTCTTCCTTCCTCAGTGGCAGGTCCGGAAGCTCCTGGACGCTATGGGGACAAGCAAGCCCTGAGCAGGGAAGCTGTCCACTCACTTAGCCCCAGGAAGAAATGCAGGGGCAGGGGACAGGGGACAGGCTACCTCCATTCTACTATCAGTGTTTCCCTATGGACCTGGTGACTCCCTGCCCAGCTCTGTGAAGAAACAGTATATCTTCCATTTACATAGGGAGAGCTCAGAGTCCAGGGCTCACCTAAGGCTACACCATGGACCAGTGGCAATACACGTGTCAAGCCAGGCTCTGGGTCCGGCTAGAGGAGCTGGGTCTGTGTGGAGAAGATCAAGCCTGAGGCTGGGGGTTATGGAATCAAACCCAGCAAAGAACCAAGCTGGGGTGGGGGCAGTGAAACATTAACCAAGGGAAGGGCAGACAGAACCCTGATCTACTAGGGACTTGTGGTGTGGCCTCTGCCAACTCCTGCCTTCTCTGAGCTTGGTCTCACCAAAGTGAGAACCGTGGGCTCAGATCTTTGAGACCCTTCCAGCCCAGACTCTCACTGCAACTGAAGCCATGTATTACACACACCCAGGTTTACATTTCAGCTGACCACTCACTGGCTGTGTGAGTCAGTGACCTCCCTGTACCAAATATGTTTGGACACACACACAAACACACACACTCGCACACTCAAATGTGGCCTGACCCAGAGCTACACAGGCTAGCTGTCAGCACAGCTGGGAGGTAGGGAGCAAAGTCTTACCGAGTCCACAGCACCTCCTGCATGGTACGGACCACGGTGGATCGCACTCCAGCATCCAGAGGCATAGTGTCCTGCTCACCTGGGGTAGGGGGAATGTGTCATGCCATCCCAGGGGATTTCAAGGAGCATGAGGAGGGGCAGATTTGAGAGAGCTTGGATCCCCCCTCAAGGGCCTAGGATTCCAGGTCCTTTGGAGAACTTTGGGCTGATGGTGACTGAAGAAAAGAATCCCAGCCTCCCCAGGGCTCTGTGAACCATCATCACCTGGGTCCTCTGTACCCTGCTGAAGAGGCTCCTCACTCTCAGTTTCCATGAAGTCGCTCTGTGAAGAGAAATGAGCGTGGTAGAGTGGCCCACTCCAGCCAAAGCTGCCTTGTGCCAGGAGGGGCTCCATTTGCCCATGGCTGCTAGACTCTATGGAAAATCCCTAACGAGTGAAGGAGGCAAATAACAGCACTCCACAGTCCCATATCCAATAGATGGCTGGGAATCCTGGTGCAGCGGGACCTGTGGGTCAGCCAAGACCACAGTAGAACCTTTCCATACACAATGGAGGCCCAGCGTCCACAGGCCCCCAAACTCCCACACCTAGTAAGAAGAGCATCCACAGAGCCCAGGTCAGCAGCCAAGTGGGGCTGACTTACCTCCAAACACTGGTCTGTGTGACCTTGGCCAAGTCACCCCATCCTGGACCTCAGTGACATCATGTAGAAGGTACCCATGGAGGCAAGGTTAATCTCTAGCCCCTAGGCAAGAAAGCCAGCTGTGTACCTGACAACTGGCAGGGGGCGAAGTCGTGGGCTTTCTCTGCCTCCTGGTTGAGCTGACCTTCATCAAGTCCTCCAGAGTTTCAAGCTGTCCCCCTGGCTGTCTGTTGCTGAAGGCTCCCAGGAGCTGGATCACTGGCCCAGAGCAGACCTGCAGGGGCAGAACACGTCAATTAATTAGCCCCTCCTTGGCTTCAATTGTTTATTGTCTCTGGCCTCCACCAGCCAGTGACCTCCATAAAGACAGGGTCAGTACTATACGCCCCCCACTGTGTCCACAAAGACCCAGCACATAGTAGGGCTCACCAAGTGTCTACTGCCTGGCCAGCCTCTGTCCCAGAAACAAAGTCACCTGTTTCTGTGCTCACCCTTTTCACTTCCCCTCTAACCTCCCAGCTCCATTCAGTATCAACAGGCTCTACACTAGGACCCTGGTCACCCTGCTCCTGAGCTCCATCAGGAAGGACACACCCGCCCTGCCTCCACTTGCTCCTGCTCACACATCTCTCATGCTCCTTTCAGGCACTGCCTGTGAAGTCAAAGCAACTATCACAATGTACTGTCCCTGAGAGAAATTCCTTCCTGGCTATTTAAAAGTGATGAGTAGTTTCAAAATGTGCAACATATTGCTCCCTTTTTACCACTACTGCCTGGAAACTCAGTGTTTCTTTGGAGCTTAGAAGGTGTGCCTTTTCAGGATTGGGGGGGGGGGTTAGGGGGTTGTTGTACAAGAAGATATCTAATGCGTTCTCCTTTTCTTGTTTCCTTTGGACTTTTCTCTGTTTTTAAAAAGTGAATTTTACATCTTTTCAGTATGTTACAAATCACAGGAAATGTGTTTGGAGGCGAGTGCGTGCGTGTGTGTGTGTGTGTGTGTGTGTGTGTGTGTGTGTGCATGTGTGTTGGGCTGAACTGTTTGAGAGAAACCGAAGTCTAAGCTTCAGCATCCCTGAGGTAAGGGGGTGGGGAGAGAGAGCTCAGAGCCTCTCTTGGGGAGGGACCAGCCCACCCACATCTCAGAGTAAAGTAGGATGAAGGATGTCGATGAAGAAAGGACACCTACGTAGTACACAAGCTTCACTCCGCAGGGCGCTCTCACCTTCTCCTTGAAGAAAGAAAATAAGAGTACAGAGATTAGCATCCAGAGGACCCCATAAGCCACCCTACCCCAGAGAATTCAAGGAATGATGTGCCAGCTAGATTGGCATTTGCAACAAAGACTACTAATGAGGGCATTGCTAACATATTATGACACATTCAGACTACAAGTTCTATGTAGTTATTAAACCGGGGAGGGAGTCATTTAAAAATTACCTTCTCCTGGGGGCCTGGAGGGCGACACCCGGCATGGACAAACTGCTGTCCCAGAACACCAGGAGGAGTACACTATGTTACTGCCTCACAGATGAGGAAGCTGTGGTTGCGACTGGCTGTAAAAAGTCCTACGCTACTGAGCTGTGCAGTTAATGTCGGAACTTAATTCTCCCTACGATGTGGGGCTACATGGAAAGATTCATGGGATGATGTCGTGATGTGTTATTGGGAAAAAAAGGGGGGAAAAATAGGTTAGAAAACAGTGTCTGTTGCATAAGCCCATTTATGTAAATATATATTTATAGATGCAAAATAGATGTTATCTCTAGGGAATGAATTCCAGGGAGACTTTCACTTTCTACATGTGTACACTTGGGAATTGATGTTATTCAAAATGAACACGTATTTCTTTCATAACCAGAAACATATTTTTTATTAAAAAGCAAGTGCAGAACAATATATGTAGCACGCTACCGTTTGCGTTACGGAGAGAATGAATTTTTAAATGTGTATTTTCTTGACTACACATAAAATATATCTGGAAGTCTCTGCAGATCCGAATAGTCCTGGCTGCTGGCGGGAAAGGCACTGGGTGCTGGGAGAGAGACTCTGCCCTTGGTTTCTTTTTCAAACCATGGGATGAATTGGCCTTAAAAAAAAAAAAAAAAGTAACTGAGAATGAGGGAGAAAAAAGGAACACAGGACATGGGGGGGGGAGCAGGAAAGGTACTAGCCCAGGCTTTCCTTCACAGCTGAAAGCCTTTTGGCTGGCTCTGGACTCAGGGGTCCTTCTGTCAGCCCCACGAGGCTCAGTCTTTGACACAGCAGACAGAACATAGAACAGGATGAATGTATAACATAGTTAAAGGGAGAGAAGACTGAAGGGGAAACAATGAAAACAATCAGAGCTAGTTGGGAACCAAACACAATTTCTGGAAGTAAAAACATAATTAAAATTAAAAACTCAGTGTATAGGTTTAATAGCCACATTAGACACAGCTGAAGCCAATTAATGAGCTGGGAGATAGATTTCAGGACATTATCGAGAATAGTCAGAGCACCGAGACTGTGGGGCAAGGCAAGATGTGGAGAATGGAGTGAGCGGGACTAATCCATCTATCTAATTAGGAGCGAGGAAAGGAAATTTGGTGGAAGCAACACTTAAGGTACACAGCTAAGAATTTTTCCAGAACTGATAAAAGATAACAATTCACGGTTTTAAAAAGTTCTGTGGAGTTCAAACAGGAAAATTAAAGGCATCTCACACCTATGACATCAATCTCCGGTAATAAGGGAATTCAAAAAGCATCAAAAGAGGGGCTGGGGAGGTGGTTTAGCTCTTCCAGAGGCCCCATGTCTAATGGCTCCCAACTGCCTGTAACTCCAGCTCCAAGGAGAGCTGATGCCCTCTTCTGACCTCCAAACGTTCTCGAGCACGCACACACACAAAATTTAAAAAGGGGGGCGGGGTGGCTAGTGAGATGGCTCTGGAGTCAAGAGTACTTAATGCTCTTGTAGAAGGCTGGGGTTCAGCAACTCACCAACCACCCGTAACTCCAGTTCCAGGGGGCCTGACACCCTTTCTGGCTCCATGGGCACCTGCACTCAAAGGGTAGTTAGTCGACACATAGTGTGTACATGCAGACATATAAATCTTTTCAAAATAAACACATAATTTTAAAAATCAAAAGGAAAAAAATAACGGCCAGCAAGAACACTAAAACAGTCCGCTATCTCAGAGAATGGTGTTGATGCCCTGAACCCCCTCCACCCTCCTTAGGTGGGCACTGATACTGTCATCAACACATTTGACACAAGAGGAAACTGAGGCACAGAGGTCAATTAGCTAGCAAACCAAAGATCTGACATTTAAACCCAGCCAGTCTGATTCTAGAAGTCAGCACCTTCACCCACTATGCTAAGACATTGACTAAACGACCCTGTGCCTGTGAAGGGAACAGGCACTTAGCCAAACAGCTGGCTCCCCAGTGTCAGCAAGGAGCCGCAGAAGACAGCAGGATATTATTTTCAAATAAAGCAATCATCCATAGTCCACTATAGACCAGGCAAAATCTTCTTTGAGCATAAAATGAGAAAAGGCACCATCGAGAAAAACAGAAGTTGCTTTTCTGGATAATTGTATGTTACTCAGTAAGCAAAATGTGCTTAAGGCAACACGAATCAAAAAGACCAAAACTTGCTAAATGCTGAAGGATGAACCTGAGTTGGAAGGAAAGACAAATTATCCCACATAGGAAAGACGAGCTGCAATGAGAAACTTTGAGCCAAGAAAAAGAAAAATATTATGTTGAACCTAAACATTGTCTAGAATTGCAATGATGGTGTGTAATTTGGGGGATTAAAAGCATAAGAAAGAACCAATTTACCGGATAACAATAGCACACAAACTGGGATGGCGCGTGTTTGGAATTAAAGCAATCCCAAGGCCTCCCTACTGTTCAGGGGAAGATGTATTCTTTGGTAAGTGAATTCTTAGTGTTAAAATTCCCAAGAGGTCCACTGAAAGGGTACAAGCAGAGCACAGTAAGGTGGGCAGAACAGATGCAGATGCAGATAAACCAGCAGTTGCAAGAATGTACTTGGGTATGGTAGCAAACGCCTGCCATCTCAGACACTGAGGCAAGAGGACCATGAGAAAAGGCCAACCTGGGTTATATAAAATCATGTCTCAAATGAAAAAAATAATACAAAGATGAATTAATAATTCAGACATTTAAAAAAAATACCAGATTTTTATTTTAGTTGTTTATTCTCTTATTAGAAAAGATGTTTATTTGCTCCATTGCAAGGAGTACAGCAGGCAGGGCAGAAGAAAGAAAATCCAGTCCAATGATGGTGGCACAAGCTTTTAATCCCAGCACTTGAGAGGCAAAGGCAGGCGGATCTCTGTGAGTTCGAGGCCAGCTTGGTCTACAGAGTGAGTTCCAGGACAGCCCAGGCTACATCCACAGAAACCTTGTTTCAATAAAAAAAAAAAGAAGGGAGGGAGGGAGGGAGGGAGTTAAGAAATCCAGTTATGAAGTATAAGTGCTATTTCTAAAATATTATAATGAAAAAAGCCAAGAGACAAAAATGGAATAACACGAGAACAGGAATATGCCAGGCCCAACAAAGAAAGTACTGGAGCAATATTAACAGTCAATGAGAGACTTCCAGAGCCAGAATAATATAAACCAACTTCACAATTCATCGATAACCAGGTCCACCACAGAGCTACAGCTTGAAACTTGTAAGCATCAAATAACATAATCTCAGAGGCCAGGAAGCGAAGGTTGACAGAACCACAGGGAAAAGACAAATTCACCATTACAACAAACATGTATCGATGAATCAAGCTGACAAAAAAAAGGTAGGAATAAAAAAGATCTGACAAAACAGACAACCGACTGCTTTAACCTACACAGATAATACTGCCCCTAGCAACTACAGGGCACACACTCTTTTCACACATACATGCAACATACGTGGATACACTATACAGATGGGCCAAACACCAAAGTTTAGTAAATTTCAAAAGATTGGTATTATTTATTTAATGAGTATTTATTTAATGAGTGTTTGCCTGCATGTAAGTGAACCATGTGTGTGCCTATTGCTTAAGATGGCCAGAAGATGGCGCTAGATTGTTTGAAACTGGAGTTAACAGGTAACTGTAAACCCCTATGTGGGTGCAGGGACCTGACCTTGGATCCTCTGCAAGAGCAGCTAGTGCTCTTAACACTAAACTCTCTATGGTTTGAGTGAGAATGGCCCCATAAGGTCATGTGTTTGAATACCTGGTCTCTAATTGGTCTGGGAAGGATTAGAAGGCGTGGCCTTGTTAGAGGAGGTGTGCCAGCTATAAGGTTTCAAAAGACTGGGATTCTGTGTGTCTCTCCCTCCTGGCTGCAAATCGAGTCGTGAACTTTCAACTGTTCCTTTGCTCCACCATCAATTCTTTTTGTTTATTTTGTTTTTTGAGGCAGGGTTTCTCTGTGTGGCTCTGGCTATCTTGGAACTTTCTCTGTAGACCAAGCTGGATTTGAACTCAGAGATACTCCCACCTCTGTCTCCCAGGTATTGGGATTAAAGGCGGGTGCCACTACCTGGTCCTATCATAGAATCTGAAGTCTCTGAAACCATAAACCAAAAGTAACACTTTATTTTGTAAGTTGCCTTGATCATGTTGCTTTCTCACGGAAACAGAAAAGTAATTAAGGGCTGGGGAAGGCTCAGTAGTTAAGTTCAGCTCTTGCAGAGGTCCTAGCACCCATATGGCGGTTCACAACTGTCTATAACACTCATTCTAATGTTTTATGCCCTCTTGTGGCCTCTGAAGGCACTGCACACACATAGTGTGCCTACGAACAACACAGGCAAAATACACACAAAACACCCCCAGAGAAGCTAAGAATCAAGGAGGACCCTAAGAGAGACATATATAGTCCCCAGGAGAAGGGGAAATGGACAAGAGCTCCTGAAAAAAGAGGGAGCACGGGGGGTGGGGGGGAGGGAGGCAGAAGAAAGAGGAGGGGAGAAGAGGAGGGGCGAGGACATGAGGGATCAGAAAGACTGAGTCAGGAGATTGAATAGAGGAGAGAAAGAAAAGAGATCCCTTAACAGTGGGAGCCGTTATAGCTTTAAAGAGAAATCTGGCACAAGGGAAATGTCCAAAAATCACAAGGATTACCTCAACAAAGAAACTAAGCAATAGGGGAGGGGCTACCTTAAATGCCCCTGCCCTATAATGAGACTGATGACTACTTTAAATGCCATCCTAGAGTCTTCATCCAGTAGCTGATGGAAGTAGGCACCCACAGCTAAACACTGAGCTGAACTCCCGGAATCCA